GACAACCATAAGGCCGAGGCCTCTACGTCCTGGAAGATTGGATTGGATTGGATTGAATTGAACTGACCTTGACCGCGCATATTTAAAAAACTACTTGAGTTATCGCATTCGATCCAGTATATAGTCAGGGCACAGCTTCGAAAAATGCGTAGGATAGAAAAATGGGAATGTTCATATCAAGCCTTCTGGACAAGCTTTGGTCTAAAAAGGAAGTCCGAATATTGATGGTTGGATTAGATGCTGCCGGAAAAACCACCATTTTGTACAAGCTGAAGCTGAATGAAATCGTCACGACTATTCCAACTATTGGTTTCAATGTTGAAACTGTGGAATACAAAAACATCAGCTTCACTGTTTGGGACGTTGGTGGACAGAAGATTATAAGGCCATTATGGAGACACTATTATGATAATGCTAAAGGTATATATGCGGTTAACCTCTTAAGGTCTATTATAATGAAATCACAGCGATTATTTTTGTTGTTGACAGCAATGATACAGAAAGAATAGACGAAGCCCGTGAGGAGCTCCACGCCTTGTTGAACGAAGATAAACTTCGGGAAGCAATACTGCTTGTATTCGCAAACAAACAGGTATGTTCTCGCATATATGGTAACCTTTTCATTCCTCAGGATCTTCCGAATGCTCTTTCCACCTCCGAGGTTGCCAAAGGACTTGGCATGACAAACTTTCAAAATCGAAAATGGTTTATACAGTCTTCTTGCGCGGCAACTGGCGACGGTATTTACTCGGGTTTGGATTGGCTTTGCACGGAATTAAAACGGATCTAATGATTTTCCATTCCAAGTCAAAAGTGTAAACCATTTCTGTTAACTTTTTATCAACTATCACCAAGATTCAGCTTCATTCTCGAGGCAGCTGTTCAAAGTTATTGTACATGATGAATAAAATTTATTTTATTATGTTCACTTTTCGCAGTTCATTATCCTTTCACTTTTCACGCTACTAGCATTCCAATTCAATCCAAATTTTCAGGATGTAGAGGTCTTGGCCTTATAGTTTTCCTGATTCTGTCTCGACCTCGATCGTCGATAGACCGATCGAGCAGCATGTTTGTCCGGCTTACAGCACGGTTGATAGTTCCGCGTTCCGTCGCTGCCAAATAGCACTGTAAGTAATTTATCACGAAATGGGTTGCAGATTCTAAAGCCTCGTCAATCACTTAATCAGGAAGCCTTCAATGTAACGACTTTGATGCAGCTAGGTCAACAAGATTGTCTGGCTCGTACAATGGAATCCTTGGGAATAGATATTTGCTGCGTGTCGGAAACTCGAATCCAGGATCCTACTACTATAAGCCACTTCAGCGCGCCAGATTTGTCGACGAGATATTTTCTTCGCACATCAGGCGACGATGAAGCTCGTTCAGTTGGTCAGCGCGGGCTAGGTATTGTACTCAGTAACAGGGCGGAGTCCTCTCTTATCGATTGGATCCCCATCGACAGTCGTTTATGTGCAGTGCGTCTCCAGGGTTCAATCAGCGTCCGGAAGGAAAGCAACACAAAAAGGTGTTTGCTCATCGTATCAACATATGCACCGACCAATTGCAGTTCTGATACACTAAAGGATGCCTTCTACGACGAATTCACCGATCTCATTCGGATGAGTCAAAGCTCCGATGTAGTTGTACTTGCAGGTGACTTCAACGCGCAGGTCGGAAAACTGAACGCATCAGAAGCTTGCCTAGGTGGTAGTTGTGCTCTGCCCTGCTAACGAACAGATAACGGTGATCAAATTCTTCAGTTCTGCGCAGACCATCATCTGTTCCTATCAAGAACCAACTTCCGACACAGCTCTCGGCGGACAGCAACATGGCGTTCCAGTTCAACTGGTACGTTAACTCAAATCGACCACATAGCAGTAAGTTACCGTTGGGGTCACTCAGTGCAAAATTGCAGGTCTTATTGGACCACCTGCGTTGAGTCTGACCACGCATTACTTCTGATGCAATTCACTCTTCGACTGACTGGTCGGCGACAAAACCAGAAAGCTCGGATAGCTATTCAACAACTATCTCTTCCAGCAGTTCATGCATTCTATGAGTCAGAGCTAGTGCGTAAACTAAATGCGCCTCAACGAGGTGATGTAGACGAGAAGTGGAATCAGATTAGGCGAACAATGCATTCCGCAGCGAATGTTGCTTGTGGGTCTGAGCCTTGAACCTAGCGGAGGCAAGGGATATCTCAGGAGTCAGTAGCCCCTAACGACGAATCCCAATCTGCCAGGATCAAAATAGAGTTAGGTGGCATCTACAAAGTCAGCTCACAAAGAGCCTCGAGAAGGACCGTGAGAACTGGTGGGTAACAATAGCTAATGAAATGGAAGTAGAAGCTGAATCAGGGAATAGTCAAAGACTGTCCAGACTGATACAAAATACGGGAGGTCGACGAATTTCAGTTAGTGAAACAGTCTGAGATAAGAGAGGACGAGCTATTCACAATGGGGATCAACGACTCGATCGCTGGGTAGAATACTTCAGAGAACAGTTCAGCTGGCCTAGTGGTAAACAGGGTGCTTCATCTCCAACTGAAGCTCCTTGGGCAGTGTCATGCGATCTTTTAACGGAATCAGAAGTTTGGTCTTGCATTCAAGCTCTAAAGCGGGGCAAGGCAGGGACCAGATGAGATCCCTCCCACTATTTTCAATATGGAGAGTGATAACCTCGTAAGCTGTATTACTACCTTACTGCGCAATATTTGGAGGCAAGAACACATTCCTTCCTTGGAGCGAGTAACTGATCGTTCCCATTTTTAAGAAAGGATGTCGCAGCGACTGTGAAAACAACCGCGGGATCAGTTTGATCCCGATAGTCACCAAAGTGCAAGCTTTGGTTATACTTCGACGTCTGATTCCTTTAAGAGTGAACAGCAAACCGGATTCTGGCCTGGCCGTGGATGTATTGATCACATTTGTACGTCGCCTCAAGTCCTTGAGCTGCGTCACACCCACCGTCGGCCAACGACTGCAGTGTTGTTTGACCTGAAAGAAACCTTCGACTCAGTTGACCACGAAGCTCTGATGGGCTCCCTTCTTCGAAAAGGAATGCCCAAGAAATACCTTGACCTAATGAGATCACTGTATTCAAAGACCTTCGTTCGTGTAAGGGTTTACGACAATCTAAGTAGGCTGTTGGTCACCAGCAGCGGCGTCCGTCAAGGATGCCCTCTTTCGCCGTTCCTGTTTAATTTCCTCTCGAAGAAATACTCAAGAGCGCACTAAGGGGACTCCAAAACGTAGGTATTTTATGGGCAACTGGAGAAAAGCTGTGCGATTTAGAGTACTCCGATGAAACCGTTTGTCTGTTCGAATGTATGGAGAACGCGCAAAGCGCGCTTGATAGACTAACAAGTGCAGTAGTCACATTCGGTATGTGCTTTTCACCTTCAAAGTGCAAAGTGATACTGCAAGACTGGGATTCCTCTATTCTCGCCCTGAAACTAAGTGGTTAGAATTTAGTTGTGGTGGATTACTTTTCCTACTTAGGTAGTTGCGTGACCAATGACAGTAACGCAGCAATGGAGATAACCGCCCGCATTTCCAGGGCTCGAGCAGCGTACACAGGACTGAAACACTTTTGGCGTAGACGCGACGTCTCACTGAAATTGAAAGGTCGTGTATATTGTGCTAGCGTTCGTTCAGTCCTGCTTTATGGTTGTGAGACCTTGAATTTGCGAGTAGAAAATATCCATTGATTAGAAGTTTTTGAATATTGGTGTTTACGCAGTTTAGCCCACGTTGGATGAAGCGAAGGGGTTAGTAACGTGAAGGTAAACCGTTGTGTGTTTGGGAGTCTGTCAGGTATAAACCTACTAGCACACCGAATTCAAATTAAAAGACTTCGCTGGTTAGGGTACAAATTTCCCAGCCATCGTCTATTACACCGCGCTAATCTGGCCTGGATGAAACCACGTGAAAATCAACAGATGACGTGAAGACGAGGCATGAAGAAATGCACAGAGCCATTAAGTAGAGTAGGTGTCTCTCGCCTTCCAGGTTTGGGTCCGAAAGACCCCACAACTGGTTGGTTGGAGACATTGAAAGATATGGCGGCGAACCGGCAACAGTGGCGTTCTTGTTATCGTTTCTTATCAAATGAGCTTGAAACAGTAAGTATGCATAGTTCGGTTGCGTGCCCTGTGCTTTGACCATGGTGACTCACCTTCTCCCTCCCTCCAATCTCTGTCCATCTTAAATTCTATCACTAACCTTGAATGCATTGCGAGTTTGGCAGCGTTCAGTAAAGTTCGCTTTACTGTATTTTGCTGCAGGATGATGATGATGATGATGATGATTTAGTGAAACATCGCATACCATCTACAATGCGAAGAAGTTTAGTTGGCTATTAGATGCACGTACAATTGTAGTGGAAAAGATACTACATATACGAATAATAATAAAAATGGAACGAACTCACAGAAAGATTGTCCGGTTTGTTAATAGGTCCTGTTCTTCGGATGTGTGGCTCTGGTTGATGGTGTACAGTGGAGCTGAAAGGGACGATAACTGATAATGTACGCGTAATGCTTCAGCAAAACTCGGAGAAAACGTATGCAGTCACGAACAGAGTTACTGTTGTGTTGTGAATAATTATGCATATTAAAACAAGTTTTACAATAATACCATAGAAAATTAGATAGAAAAGTTCCGTTTCAGTTCGTACAACCAGTAATCGTGTACTTTCGTGCGCCAGTTTTGGTTGCTGTCTTTTGGTTGCCCACTTGGATAAAATAGCAGAATGATGATTAGAATGTTGAGAGCAGATTCAAGCAAAAGATAGCACATTTTCATAGACTGAAGTTACAGTAATAATGAGTAGATGCATGAGCGCCCCTGTTTATGACACCCAGCCATATCTCCCAGTGTATCTAACCATCCATTATTATGACCTCACGGTCCCCACCCAGGGAGCCTAACGGGACCTATGTGAGCCAGTCTCCTGGTCAGCGTTTTTATACCCGCATGCCAGGTCTTAGCTTGACCGCCCTTCATTATTTTCCAACTGCTACCTGCCTCAGCAAGCATTGCTTACCGTGGCAACCTATCTGGTGACATGCGTAGCACTTGTCCCAACCAGCGTAATCTATGTAGGTCGACTACTTGTTTGAGTGGACGACCGCGATCACCTAAAACTATACGCCTAACCTCAGCGTTTCTCGTTCGGTTTCCCTACCAGACTCGTGCAATGAGACATAGGCAGCGGTGTTTGAAGACCGACAATCTATTTTTATCATGTTCCTGTAATGGCCAAGTCTCTGCACCGTAAAATAGAACTGGCCGAGGCAATATTAATTAAACTAGTTCCTCTGTGATTTTCACAAGAGGACCTGTCGCCCTTCTTGTAAATCGGTATGATCACCAAATCACACCACTCAGTTGGAACCTGTTCCTTTTCCCACACTAAATCCAGGGATTATTTTAACTCCAAAACCAAGGCTAGACTTCAATACCTAAAAACCGATGGGGACAGCCCGTCAGAGCCGAAAGACACTACAGTAGCCCCCTTCTAGAGTGAAAGTGCAAACTGAATACTCGATAAAGGTAAGGGTAAAAGGGAAATGTTTAAGAAAACAAACAGGAGATTGCACTTTTCTTCCGAGACGTATTGTACGCGGAACGCTTATAGGTCTAAATGTCCGTGTAGAAGGTGGGACAGTTGAAGAAGTGTGTGTTGTGTCTGTTGTGTGACTTGATGCGGGTGGTGTATCGGGGATAAGTGGTGAAGGAAAAACATGTGGAGATTAATAAACCGAATGATGAATTGAGATACGCT